CCTTTCTTTTTTTTTTTTTTTTTTTTTTTTTTTTTTTGTATGGCTTGTGAAAGAATGAACACCTGCTGCATCCCATGTCTGTGTACTATGTTTTTTGCTGGAATTGTAAAATTACCTTTCCAATTAGTTCTCTATGTTTGTTAGATCTGCATTTATTTATGAGGTCTTCTAATATACTTCTCTTCACCTGGCAGACTCCCATAAACATAAGAAAGACAAGGAGCATCGTCACAAAGAACACAAGAAGGACAAAGACCGTGAAAAATCCAAACACAACAACAGGTTAGTGAGTTAGATGTAGATTCTTCTGGTTCAGAAATGTCATTGATATTCACCACTGTATAGGCCGGATGTATTCGGGAGGACATTCGTTTCTTGTAGGGGCACAATGAGGGATTGTAGGCAGTGGAAGCTGCCCAGGATGTAGTGAGGACAACACAGGCAATAGTCTGGACGTGTGTTTGACAACTGCATTAAGCTGTTTAAAATGGCTTTGGCTTGGTGGAAACACTGGCTGGTTCGAGAGATAGGGGCTTTTGCCCCTTTTAATCTAATTGTACCAAAATGAGTTGTGGTCAGTGAATGTAGCCACCCCATTAAATGAAGACCCCTTTCATATTGGTAGTTCGATCAGGTCCACATGTCGACCAAATGTTAGTCTATGGCAGCTGAATCTAAACGGATAGGCGTCCGTTTACATCCAATTACCCCCCGACTCCAGGTCTGGAAAAACAAATGGATCAGAGTTCTATTTCAGCGCAACCTGATTGTGGGGGATCAAGGGTATCACTTGTCCATTTACATCCCCCTCCCCGTACACCAACATGGGTCCGGTAATTTCATTTTTGTTTTTTTCCTTCATCGCACGGTGGAGGAAAAAACTGGATGGACGTGGATGTCACAAAGATGACATCCGTTCTGATCAGCGGAGAATCTGTGCACACAATCCCTGCTGATCAGAACTGATGGCACCTGGGTGAAAGGGGCCTTTTGGTAATAAATGTTTTTATTATACAGTAACTTATAACTCCGTTAGACCACTGTTCTTTGATGGTGAACGTCTCATGATTGGCTTAACATGCTTGCCTGGTTATCTTGCTGATCTTCTGGAGTGAGTACTGTGAATCACTGAACAAGTGTGCAGCCAGTGAAGTCAGAAGGAGGTTTTAGATTCTGATGTGAATGCTTGTTCTGGGGTCGTAGCTCAAAGTATAGAAGTCTTTGCATCCGTGAGACCGCTTTGCAAATTGCATTTTCATAAGGAGGTTGAAAGTGCTAGTGTACTGTGCCAACAATGTGAGACTAGAGGATCAGCCTACTAGTGCTGGCTGCGGTCTTGGTTACTTTTACTTTTTTTTTTTTTTTTAAAGCCAATAGAGATTGGAAACTCTCTAAGCTGTTTGCCCTCCCCTTGTCTAATGCAGTTTCTGCCATTCATGTCAACCACCTCAAACATTGTTGTTGTCCCTCGTACCAGCTCCAGTTTACCAAAAGGAAATTCCACTTTCTGAATGTGGTTTGGGCAGGGAGAGTCATCCACTGCTTCCTTTAGGAAGACTTGATTCCCGTCTTGTAATCCTGGATGGACCCCATAAGGGTTTCTTGTTCTACAATCTCTAGGTGGCTTGGGCCAACCATCCAAGTTTATGGTCTCAAGGATTGGATTTCACCCTTTCCTGCCAAGGGACACTCTGCTAGACCTGAGAGTTCTTCTTGGGCTTTTTGGCATCATGCTATGATTTTCCAAATTTGTGAGGCTTGCCACCTTGTCTTCATGCGTTCTCCAAGTTTTACTAGGTGGATGTTGCAGCCTCATCTGATTCCAGCTTCGGACATAAGGTCCTCCTGGCAGCTCCTTTGAGCGGTATGCAGTATCCAGTTTCTCTGTTTTCTTAGGCCTGTTAGCATTTGCTGTGTTGCCCACTCCTTAGTTTGCTCTCTGCCACACCTGAGTCCATTGACGGACACATGTTCCCCTCCTTTACGATCATGCTTTAAAAAAATGAGGCAAACTGGTAGGAGGAGGGGTTATCCTGTGCTGGCCTACAGTTTTTGTTTGCCAATTTCTAGGGATGGACCGATACTAGTATCGGTGCCAATACCGAGAGTTTGGTCGAGTACTCGCCCAAATGCTCCGATGCCTAGCCCTATACTTCCGGTATCTGGAAGCCAGGCAGCGCGTCATTACGCAGCGCCCAGCTTCCTGATTGGCCAGAAAGCTGGCTCCACGCTCCCTCGTCACCAGGTGGCGAGGGAGCATGAAGACGGCTTCTATGCTAATCGAGAAGCCGGGTGGTGAGTCTTTACAAGACGCCTGGCTTCCTTGATGGGACTTCTGGTATCGGTATTCGGTATCGTTGCATCTCTACCAATGTCCAATCCTCCTGTAGGAGACAGTATAATTCAAAGGTGAAAGACTTCCTATGTCCCCCAGTGGACTCCAAGAAAAGATTTTCACAGGAAGTACAAATTTCCTATTTCACTTGATGCATATTTGATTCGTACTAAAACCCTAAGAAAAAATTCTTTGAGTAGCTTTGGATTGGGTATAATCCCATTTGTGTGTTTTTTGGGGGTTTTTTTTCCCGTATCTTCAATCTACTTCAAATTTGTTTTGTTTCCTTTTACTCAGTGAGCACAAAGATCCTTCTGAAAAGAAACACAAGGACAAACACAAAGATGTTGAGAAACACAGAGAAAAGGACGGCGAGAGACATCGGGAGAAGGATGGTGAAAAACACAGAGAAAAGGATGGCGAGAGACATCGGGAGAAGGATGGCGAGAGACACCGCGAGAAAGATGGTGAGAAACATCGAGACAAAGAGATCGAGAAGCACAAGGATGGTGAGAAACATCGAGACAAGGAGAGCGAGAAGCTAAAAAAGGATGGTGAAAAAAATCGGGATAAAGATGGCGAGAAACATCGAGATAAAGAAGAAAAGCGCAGAGATGGGGAGAAGCATAAGGTTGGAGAAAAGCATAAAGAAAAACACAGAGACAAAGATAAGGAAAAAAGGAAGGAAGAAAAAGAAAAGGTGTGTGTGAAACGTTGCTAACCTACTCAACTGTAGGCTGTGGTCTTTTGCCTATGAAGGTCCACTATTTTGTCTTGCAGTCATTTGTTTTTCCTGCCTCATGGCCTTCCTATTGGCCTCAAATGAATTTGTCCATCCTTGGCCAAGCCGATCAGTTTTGCAGCATTTCTGCCAGCTTTTGAACTAATAGGGTTTGCAATTAAAACCGGTCTAAAGCTGTTAAAGTGCAACTGAAGTCTCGCACCTTTTTTATATCTCTTTATAGTCCTGTAACCCCACGTGTTATCACTTGTGACTGATTTTTAAAAGGCTTTTACCAAAAGTTAGAGCGTTGATTGTTGAAGGCTCACTTATTAATAATCTGGTTTTATTTTGAATGAAGATCTAAATTTTAATCCTTTTAAAACTAGAATAAATGCTAAGGCTGTTGTGTTAGGTTTGCTCAACTTGTACTAAGACTGGAGGTTGGCTCCTTTTTTTAAATTGTTGGGTGACGAGCATTTAATCTCATGAGGTTAATTGCGCAGATATAGATCTGAATGGGGGGGGGGGATCTAGCCTAGATGAGTGATTAATCCTCTATTCTCGTTTTTAGGTTTCTGAAAAAGAGAGATGATTAATCGCTACATAATTAATTTGTGATGCTGCGCGATCAGGAAAATTGTTTGCTCAGTCACACTATTGCTAATCTGAAGAGAAGTGTGATTAGAAAGGAAGAAAATTATCACATTGGGGTTTAATAGTGCAATAAAACTATTAAAATCACCCGTGTAGCCTTGCCCCGACAGATTACTCATTAATGTTTGTTGTATTTTTTAACATAATGGCGATAGCTAAATAAAATCTGCATAACTTTTTGTATTGCAGCTAAAATCCTCCATGGACAGTGGGAAGGTGAAAAAAGAAAATGGCTTCTCTAGGTAAAATTGAACTTTTTTTTGGTGCCACTGTTAGATCCTAAAGAGCAACCCCAGACAAAGCAGATTTTATTTTGGAACTAGGTAGTGTTTGATCCCCTGCAAGTCTAAACTGGTACCCTGAAGAGCAGAACGGGGTGAGCTTCTAGGCCAGGGGTAGCCAAACTCTGGCCCTCCAGCTGTGGTGGAACTACATATCCCATGATGCATCTCTCTCGGGGAGTCCTGGCTGTGAGAATCTTGCAATGCCTCATGGAATTTGTCGTTCCACCACAGCTGGAGGGCCGGAGTTTGGCTAACCCTGTTCTAGGCTGTCATGGCTGTGCTACTATTTGGCATGGTCTTCCCTCCCCTCTGGACCAATAGATAGTGCTGATAGTGCTAATTTAGAGAACTTTCTTGGTGGATAGTTTGCTTGTTGGCTCTTTAAAGTGCTCCCCTTCCTTTTCTCATACAGGCAGAGTAAAAGGATTACTTTATTACCACCCCCCTCTCCCAGGCAGCATGTCCTTGCCTTTTATTGCCATCGGGTTTATGGAAATAATGCCCTGTGAATGGGCCAAGCAGACTTGTTGGCACTTAATAGGGCTATCGACTCCTTCCCTACTCCCATATGAAAGCACTGAGCCCCATGTTCACCCATACCCAGATACTTCCAGTATTTCTCAATAGAGTGCAACGGGAAAGATGATTGCTCATGTAACAGTATTTAAGAAGAAGAAAAAATATTTGATGAAAATTGAAGTGACAGAGCCCTATGTAGACTTTCAAATGGCCATATATGTGGATTGGGAGCTGAGAAGGTAACCTATATTAACAGTGCTAACCAGTTGCATTGTTATGGTTGGTGTACCTGAGAAGGCATTTTGAAATTGTTGCAAAGCTTTTTGCTTCCATCCTTTTTTTTTACATTTTACAAATGATTAGATTATCTTCTTGTATTCTCTGGTAATTTTTAATGTAGGACATCTGTATCTCTGCGGTAGATACCAGCAGTGGCAGATCCACAACCTGGTCTTAAGTTCTGATTTAGAGCAGCCATTGACTATTACATTAAAATGCCACCAGTTAGGGGGCACATTAAAGAGGACTTGTCATCAATGGATTTAAGAAGGAATCAGTCCTGTATGTATTTCCCCCCTACCCTTCTTCCCCAGTATATGGCTCAACATACTTTTTGGCCTGTCGATAACCTTGGAGTTCATTTTAGCAGGGGCAGCCTCCTATATTACGGACTGTTTCTCGAAGAAAAATCCTTGTTCCATACTCTCTGTAAAAGTGTATTTTATGTTCCAGTTTCAGTTTGCCATAATTGGATATTAGCTGACTATTATGTGTTTGGTTAAATCTGATGGGGAAAACTAAAGTCATTGCAACATTTGTATGTAACCTTTCATCTTCCTGTTTTTAGTCCTGTCCATGTTAAAAATGAACCAGAAGATGATGGCTACACCTTCTCTCCCAAGGAGAACAAGGCATTGAAGAGATCCAGAGAGGATGAAGAGTAAGTGAGGGGATCCTGGGTAGCAATTGTTGTCTGTAGCTCTTTTATGTTGGATCTAATTTATTAAGTGGCTGTTGAAGGCAGAATTTGACAAAGCTAAAAAAGGCAAGCAGAGGCTAAAGGACTAGTCACCGGTATTACTTTAAAGGTTCCTTGCAGCTTAATTCTTCCCCCTTATTTGTCACATTTTGTTCATGCTATGTATAGAGAGCCATCTTGGCAGAGAAGCAGGGCTTTCTTATGTAAGAGCTGCCTCCCTCATGACTGCTTATCTGCTGCCTTGTGTGGTAATTAGGAAAGTTAAACACAAGATCTGCATGAATAAAGCAGGGAGAACCATGCATAGCAGGTTCTCAGGTGCAGCTTCCCCCCCAGCAAGGAGATTGGTGAGCAGCACCGTAGGGACATAAAATTTCACTCCAAATATCCTGCAACTTGCAGTCAAAGGCAGCAGTGCCTTACATGATCTCACACTACTGATATACAGCTATTGGGGTACAGAATAGAAGTGCTTCTTGGGCACAGGAAGTGCACTGTTTTGAGAAATTCAAAACAAAAAGTTAAATCTTTCAGCATACTGCTTAGGGACAATTACAATTTTTAAATGTCCCCTTCAAGCTGGCAAACCTCATGAGTTCAGATCCACTTTAAACTGTAATGCCAAAAAAAGTGAGGAGTTTGGCGCACTACTCAGAGTAGCAGTAGATAAAAAAAATTTTTTTTAAAGCGCCACTAGTTTGATATACTTAGAGGGTTTGTATGCCTGTGCTGTTGGTATGTGCATCTGGGAGAGAAGAATCTTGCTGCAAACAATTATACAATGCTGTTGTAATACTTCTAATCAGTCTTTCTTTTATATCCTTCCTTGTTTATTAATTTCCTCAGTTCTGATTACAAGCCCAAAAAAATTAAAACCGAAGATGGCAAAAAGGCAAAAAAACGAAAACAAGAAGAAGAGGTAAAATTATATAATTATTTGGGGGAATAGAAATTGACGTAGAATTCTTGGCGCCAGTGGGGTTGTTTTTTTTTGTTTGGTTTTTTTTTTTGAAACCGGTTTTCCCGTTCAAAGCCTATTTCCACCTTTTTTGCAGAGGTTTTTTTGAAAAGAAAACCTATAAGCAATGTACACAAAGTTAACTGTCCTCTTCATCTCCTCATGACTCCCTTTTGAAATGGCCACCTCTGTGCTCTGCAGGGAGTCTGTAAATTGCAGGCTGCTGTGCACAGGAGGAAATGCAATGAAGGGCAATGGAAAACTAAATTTCCCACAATGCTATGCTTACCTCTTGCACAAGCTTCTCTGTGAAAAGTGAGCTTTCTCCCCCATTCATTAATATTCATAGTGACAGCGCCCCATGAACAGTGCAGAGTGACCTGGAGAGGCAGAGCTGATGTGCAGTGATCTTGTTACATGATGTACAGCCTGTAAAAGACAACCCCACCCAAATGTTAGATTGAGTTTCCTGTGGGGGTAATTTAGAATGGTTAGTAGATGCGGGCCTTTTAAAAAGTCAAAGTAAAAAGCCAGGAATATGAGTCATGAAAATGTATGTATACATCTTACAACATCATCACTTCACCTCTACATTACCCCAATAAATGCTAATTATTTACAAAGGTGGAAACGGTCTTACAAAGTTGAGCATCAGTTGTTGGTTGTTGCACCAATTACAAATTGTATGGTGCCTCAAAAGTGCTGTGATCTATCCAACCACCCCATGGTAACAATTTTTAAAGACCTCCAGACTAGCACCCTCCCGAACAAAATGCGCCTTTCTGGAGCTTATCCAGTGTTTGGATTTGGTTAAAGTGTGGTGTTTTTTTTTGTAGGATGTAAAACCTAAGAAAATGAAGAACAAAGTCAAAGGGCAGGGGGGTGACATTAGGAAGAAAAAGTTGAAGAAAGAAGAGGAGGAGAAGTGGAAATGGTAATGTTGCATCATTGTGTTTTTAAGGCTGAACTCGAGGCAGAATAAAAAGCGCCAATTAATGTAGCAATGCCTTCACCTTGAACATTGAAATGCATACAGGGAGCATCGCCTACCTGCTGAGGAGTTGAGTCCCTTATCTACACGTTGCTGTATTGCACCAGTCCACCTTATTCTCTTGTTTGTCTGGCAAATCTGGAACACCCTTCATGCTGTCTTTTACACTTAAAGAGGAACTTTACCCATATCTTAAAAAAAAAAAAGACACCTTTAAGAAATGTCTGCGAAGGTTCTCCTTCATCCAGGTCATGGTATATCTGTAAAAAGAAAAAATAAAGGCAACTGGACTTGCTGTATTTCAAGAAAAATATAGCAAGTCCAGTTGCCTTTACTTATTTTTTTACAGATACACCTTTTAGAAATGTTTAGTAATGGCAATCTATAAACACATCTAGATCAGTGGTTCTCAACCTGTGTAACCTCAGGACCCACATTTGTCCTTGGTCATTAAGTCGCGACCCAAAAATAGTTTCACATTCGCAGTGATACGTAACCTGTATGGCACAATCGTCCTTTAAGTACACACGCATGCCCCATGTGCACGTGTTTATTTGCAGGCAGATGGTAGGGCGGCAGGGTTGGTTTTAATTTCTTTTTTTACATTTTTATTATTTTTTTATCACTTTATAAATTCTCTCCATCCTGAATGAATTTGCCAGGGGACCCTGAAAACTACAGAGGGTGGTGGTGCGGGGGGTGATGGTAAGCCACACAAGTAGGCTGCTACAAGTGATCTGGGCGGCTATACTTATAGAAAATGAGCAGCAGAGCCCCTGCTAATGCTCCCCCCCCTTTCCCAGCTTCTGCACTGACAGGGGAAGAGCTAGCAGCATGGACATTATGATCTGTTTTTATCTGTTCACCACACATTATTAACAAAACTGCAAACCTCTCCCTGCCAGCCTGCCTACTTCTCTCAGCTTCCATGGTCTCTGGGAAGGCAACACTAACTATTAACACTGGTGTATCCCTACTAAAAAATATAATGCATTGCTGGGACTTGTAGTCCTACATAGATGGAGCTATTCTGCATTGCTACATAATCTTCATACAGCAATGCACAATACCACCAGCTATGCGGGACTACAAGTCCCAGCAATACATTATAATAAAAGTAAGGTATGCAGAATACCACCAGCATCCAAACCCCACCCTATAATGCATTGCTGGGACTTGTAGTCCTACATAGATGGTGCTATTCTGCATTGCTGTATAATCATCATATAGCAATGCAGATTACCACCAGCTATGCAGGACTACAAGTCCCAGCAAAACACACACACACACTCTCTCTCTCTCTTCCCAGCGCCCCCTCCCACTCCAAACTTACCTTCCCTCTCCTTCAGGCCCATGGCCCTCTTCCTCGTCTTGGTGACCAGGGGCGGAGCTAAGAGACGACCCTCTTAGCTCCGCCCCTAAGAGGCGGGACCAGCTCATTCTCCTCTCGATATTATTCCGCCTCTCCATATTATTCCGCCTCCCGAAAGTGAGGAAATAGTCCCCGATTTCCCCGGGTCAGTTCACGCGCAGGAGGGTGTATGAGAGGGAACAGTTTTCAATATATAGTTCCCACAGGCTGGCTCGCACAAATCACCCCTCTATGTCTCCCTCCTGAACATGGGCCGCTCTTTGCAGGAAGGACGCCGCGACCCACTGCAGAAGGTGTCGGGACCCATGAGTTGAGAACCACTGATCTAGATAATTGTCGGCTTTTTATTTTTTACATTTTATTTTTATTTTCCTCTCCATTCCTCACACTGGCCATTTTTATTAAGGGCAGATGAATCAATCTCCCTTTACTTCCTGGAACTCTGGCACATGGGACTAGGCCATGTGAGCATCATCTCAGGGGAGGAAAATGCCTTTCCTTGAGATCTCGTGAGATTACAGATATTTCCCAGCAATGCTCTGCTGATGTAACCTTCCCAGGAGGCAACACTTGGGCACAATTATATTTGTGCCAAATACAAACCAGGAAGTAGAAAACAAGTAAAATTAAAATCTTTGTTTTAACTAATGAATGCAAGATGGTTTCATATTAGCATGCAGATGTAATTTTTAGCTAAAGGGGGTAAAGGTCCACTTTAAGGATCTGATGTAAAAAATCTCAGTTTATCACATCTTGGCCCCCTTTCACACGGGCTGGTCAGGTGGGAATCTGTGCATGAATCCCCTCCTGATCAGAGCAGTATGGAGTGAATTTCACCGTTGTGACATCAGTGTCCCAGTTTTTTTTCCTCATCACAAAAAAACTGAAATTACCGAACCCCATGTCAGTCTATAGGAAATCAGATGTAAATGGGCATGTGTCCGGACTGGTTGCAGTCGGGTAACTAGGTCTGTTTACACACGGCTACCCTTAGACTAGCATAGCATTGAGTGGGGATCACAAGACTGGTCATAGACTAGCACGGGAGGGGGTGTCAGATAATCTACTTCCTTTCCCTGGCTTTTTCCTGTGTCGCCTAGGCAAGGGTGGTGAAGTCCTACTTTCGGTCAGATCTCAGATTGTTGAGCAGCCCAAATCTTGCAAGAAGATGATCTTGCAATGTGCCGCAATTTCTCACAATATTTGGACTTATCAGCCTTTTCTCCCCCCTTGTCTCCTGGAATTGCTCTCTGAGTCTGGATTCACATCTTTGCATTTCTGCTAGATTGTCCATTGCAATGAATGGAAACTCATCTGAATGCATTTGCAAGACGTACAGCCTAACTTGCATAAGTGCTGCATGATGCAATGCATTGTGGTGCACATTAACACATGTTAAAGTATATTGACATTTAAATGGTTTGGAGCAGATGCATATGTGTGAATCCAGCCTGAATGCTTTTTATACATGCCTCTATCGCAAGTACCTGAAATAATCCTGATAACCTCCTGTAATCCGTTGCTGACAAGCAGTCAGCCTGGCATGAGTTGAGGTCAATAAAGCTCTTCTGCAGTGTGTGTTCTGACAGGAGGAGGAATGAGCAGATTGATGATCTAGCACAGGGCTAGGCAACCTGGGACACTTCAGCTGCAAATCCAATCATGCTTCTGGGAGTCATGCCTGTGGCTGTCATCTTGCAATGCCTCTTGGGATTTGTAGTTCAAAAACAGCTTGAGTGCCGAGGTTGCCTACTTCTGATCTAACACAATGCTGCTACGCCTTCATTTTCCAGAACGCATGCTGCAGGTGGAGTTCAAGGAACTGCATGTATCTGAATCTCAAGAGGAGTCAAAGACTCCACGCATGTATGTCTTGCATATTGGTGTTTCAACTGTGCATTTAGTTGTATGCCTGGAGTTCAGGTCTAATGTATTATCTAGCAATCTCTATACAGTACATAGTTTCTCACAATTGCATCTCATCTAGTGGTTTTTACTCATAGGTGGGAGGAGGAACGTCATACAGACGGTGTCAAGTGGACCTTTCTGGAACACAAAGGACCTGTGTTTGCTCCACCTTATGAACCTCTCCCAGACAATGTGAAATTTTACTATGATGGTATGACCTGGTTAAAGTATAGTTAAATGCTGCAGCAATTGTTTTGTAATCAGAGGCCATAATTCTAAGTGCATCTGCACTTAGTTTTCTTTCATTCCTTTTGTACTTTACAGCATGTCCTAGCTGTAACTTTAAGGACTTCTCTACTTAAAGGGTTTAAGTACAGAACAATTGGTATTAAATGATGTTCCGCTGTTGACCTATTGTTGTGATGTACTATTTTCCTGTGACTAGCAATTCTGCTGTCCAACATTCTACATGTTTTCTCCTTGACATGACTGAAATTCACTTTATCTAAAAACCAATTTTTATTTTTATTTATTTTTAGCGATTTGTGGCTAAACCCTCTAGTGTTGCAACTATGAACATTAACTCCAGTTAACGTTTATGTTCACTGCAGGTAAACATGTCAAGCTCCGCCCCAGAGCCGAAGAAGTAGCCACTTTCTTTGCAAAAATGTTGGATCACGAATACACTACAAAAGACGTCTTCAGGAAAAACTTCTTTAAAGACTGGAAGAAGGTAAATGTGATTGCTTTAAGTGTCTCTCCATTGGGTGAGCGTATTTGTTTCAGGCTTGTTGTCTCACCAGTATTCTGCCCTTCCATAGGAAATGACTGCTGAGGAACAAGGTCTCCTTACCAACCTGAACAAGTGTGACTTCACTCATATGAGCACATACTTCAAAGCTCAGTCTGAGGCCAGGAAACAGATGACCAAGGAGGAGAAACAGGTAACTTGGGTTACTGTAGAATTCCTGTTATGTTCCATTTTAAAGTTTGGCCACCGTTTTGTGGTCTTTTTGCTCCTTTTTTTATTTTTCTTTAATTGGCCCTGCATACATAAAATGTGCACTTGCTGTCCCTGTCTTGCAAGCTTACACATTTTTGCTTTTCCTTTTTGCTTAGAAAATCAAAGAGGAGAATGAGAGGTTGCTGCAGGAATATGGCTTCTGTATCATGGACAAGCACAAAGAAAGAATTGCCAATTTCAGGATAGAACCTCCAGGCTTGTTCAGAGGTCGAGGAAATCATCCCAAAATGGGCAAATTAAAGAGGAGGATCATGCCTGAAAACATCATCATTAACTGCAGCAAGTAAGTTGTTTTTTGTTTTTGTTTTTTAAACGCAAACCTAGTTTGTGCAACAAAAACCTAGCCCATACAGCTTAGAGATGCTGGCCCAGGTAGCCCACCCCCAGTAGAGCATATTTGTTGATCCACACTCTCCTGCCCCTTCCTTGCTGCAGGAGTCATACCAGGTAAGCTCCGGTGCTAGGCCTGGAGATTGCCTGCTCAAGCCTGAGCACTGTCCCATTGGAAGGGTCCTCTACCATACCTGGAAGCCCACTCTGTTGCGACAACGGGATGAAAAGGCCACAAAGGAACATGTATCAGTGAATATAGCTTGTTTAGGGGGTGGGCATAGAGACTTGCCATTGTACTAGCCTGCTGGAGGAGTAAAGTATGCACAGTTAGGATTAGAACACAGTGAGCAGCAACTACATGTAGAAGAGGTCCAGACATCCTGTAATGGAGGAAAGAGGGCCACAAAGGTGCACCAGCAGTGGGTGGAGCTGGCAGGTAATTGCAGGCAGGTGAGGACTTCCCCACTGAGCAGCCTCCTGCATTTTGGAGCCCAGAGTTGTTGGGATTTAAGCCAAGAGGGACAATGCTCAGGTCAGCAGATAAGTAAGCTGTATCAACTCCTAAGTTTCTAGATGCTTTAAAACCTATAAGAATTTGGTGAACCAAAAACGCCCAATAAAGACTAATGCTTAGGTCAGTAGGGTGAAGTCTATAAGGGAGGAGCAGCTTCCTTGGTGTCCAGCCTAACCTATAGGCAGAGCAATATACCCCCAGAGGTAAGGGGGTTAATCAAATATTTTCAATGAAAGCTTGCAAAAAGCAAAACCTAAGGACAGTATATTGACTTCTTTTTATTTATTTATCCAGAGACTCAAAGGTTCCCGCTCCTCCCCCTGGACACAAGTGGAAGGAAGTCAGACATGACAATAAAGTTACTTGGCTAGTTTCCTGGACTGAAAACATCCAAGGATCTATCAAATATATTATGTTGAATCCTAGTTCCCGTATTAAGGTAAGGACTTTAGCGATGTTGGAAGAAGATGCAAAGTCCATAAAGTTTAACTAAAAAAACAAACCTAAATCTTTACTTAATTCTTCTTTGTCAGCTGAGGAGATTAACCCTCTCCATATGAGAGCTGTTGCTTTGAGTCCCGGCTTATGATCAGGAGCCAGTGGGACAGGCTCCCGGTCACGTGACCCAAGTGATGGCTCAGTGATCCTATGATTGGGAGACTGTTAAGGGGTTAATGGCAATACTGCAAAAGCCTGGTTTATTTATACCTGGGTTTTGAATGCAGCACTACCATCAACAGTTCTTAAAGAAATGGGGGTTGGCACATTATGGCCCATGTCTTGTTGGATATTATTTTTGTTTTGTGCCAACCGCACAACTAAAGCCGCATATACACGCTTCGAATTTTGGCTGGTTTTTGATGAACGGGCTGAAATTCAATGCTGGGTGCTGATGATGGCACTTTCCAATCCGCATCCCTGGATCAGCTGATCGAAGCAGCGTGTCAGAAAAATGTCAGCCAAACAGCGTAGCAGCCAATGAGCTGCCAGCTGTATTCGGTAGCCGTCCACTGTCAGGATACAAAGGTAATAGCGGGAGATTCTCCTCCAATGCTCGTAAGCGTTGATGGAGGAATCTGTTCCATTTTCTTCGTTCAGCTGGCAAGCTGAATGAAGAAAATAGAAGCGTGTATACCCGGCTTAAGTTTGCACTGTAAAAGTACAAGAGGTCTGACAATTGCACCCTTGAAGTTCATGCTAAACCTTGCAAATCTCCAGATGTAAAACCATTTAAAATGCAAAACCACAGCTGAAATTTCTTTGTTTAGGGTGAAAAAGACTGGCAGAAATATGAGACCGCCCGCAGGCTGAAGTTATGTGTTGAGAAGATCCGCAATTCATACAAAGATGACTGGAAATCCAAGGAAATGAAGGCCAGACAGAGAGCTGTTGCACTGTACTTTATTGACAAGGTAAGACATTTACTTAGCTAAAGTAGTTGTTCATGTAATTTGGCAGCTTTAGTTGATTGAGCAGAACACTGCTGTACTAAATTTTTTAAATACTAAAGAACCTTGGTTCTCAAAAATTGGGTCGTGACCCTGTGTTCAGTGGGTCTCTGCATTTCTTCCACTTTTCTAGGTGAGAGGCTCCTTTGCCTCCCCGTAGTGCAGCACTGTCAATTCTCATGCCAAGCAGCCATTCAAAGTATGTTGCCCAGTGCCAAGTGTCAGCTTGGGATGGGGCTATGGCCGTGAGGGAGCTCCATACATACGTGCATTGCTTACAGCTCCCTTATGTGTCCTATAGAGGTACCTTAACCGGAGTGACATCACAGTCTGGCTCCTGGCACCTCTACAGGGCATGCAAGGGAGCTGTACAAGCACTGAAGCGCGGTACCCTAAGACTTGGAACAGTAGATCGGCATCATGGCACACTCACAAGTCAGCATGTAAAACAACTTGTCTCACCACTAAGGATAATAACAGGTTTGGATACACGTCTTCTGCAGAAAATGTGAAAGCCGCACCAAGGCACCTCTTATAGTGCGGTCCTAACTCTAAACTATGAGAGTCTCCATCTTGGAGCACATGGGGGCAGAAGATTTCAAATTGGGTGCAGGTTTGTCAGGAGGAAGCCCAACCTCCTTAAAGGCACAGGAACACACAAGGGATCCCGCACATCCCAATGGCAGCTGAGAACCCCCATGCGTCGCTGCACCAAATCGGTCAAGCAAAATAAATGACAAACACACTCAAAAACTTGTCACCAACTATACAGCTAATACACCCTAAGGCTTGGGTCGCGACTTAATGACCAAGGACAAATGTGGGTCCTGAGGTTACACAGGTTTAGAACCACTGCTATAGAAGGTTTTATAGGATGTTTATATAAGAAATTAAAAAAAAAACTGGGATTTCTAATTAGAAAAGTCCAGTACTGTGTGTGCTTTGGCAGACTGTGTTTAACCTACTATTTAAGATGCTGTATTTGCAATTGGGGGATGGGGTGTTCTCCCTCTGACTCATTCATGACTGTTTAGAACACTAGCTGCTCCTTAAAGCTGTCTGTACACATGGTGGTTTTTACTTGATTTCTATCATTTTCCACCCACTGGGAATTTAAAATTATTACTAAAAATAATCACCGGAAACCTAAGGGTCAACACACACGTTACAATCTGCCCGTACAATCTCTCTACAATCAACTTTAGATCTACCAAATCTATGTAATATTAGGACATACTCAATCTATCCAATCAATCTGTATACAATCAGGTAGGCCCTTGTACTACACACTTGTTGGTAGATCTAAAGGAGTTTGTACAATCAGATTGTAACGTGTGTGGTGAGCTTAAGGGATCAGCCACCAGGAATGAATCAACCGTGATGTCTAAACAGGGCAATAAATGAACTGCTTCAATAAGAAGGTAAATGTAAATGGAATTGATACAGGAAAGGGGGGGTGGCGGGTGTTGAATATAAAACGGGCAATTTTATAAGATTGTTAAAAAAAAAAAATCTGCTTTGATTTGAAGTAATTTGATCAAAACCACCACTTTGCATCCTTTGATTGCTTTGCAGTTTCAACAAAACTTTTGATGGCTTGATGTTGCTACATGTATAGTCAATACCAGGCTTTGAATTAAATGGTTGAGATGCATATTTGTAGATTTGCCTAATTTCTTATATATATATATTTCTCCAAACACTTTTTTTGTTGCAAGTAGAATAGTCTTTTATGCTGCCCCCCCTGTGTGCAATTGTACCTTCATAGTCCTTGATACTAAGTTCTCAGGAAAGCCATATGCAATTGCCCAGAATACAAAGCTTGCACAGACTGTGCTTATTGATCCACAGAGCTGTTTGTATTGACTCCTTTAGTAATGTACCACCTTGTACTTCATCCTTCTAGCTTGCTCTGAGAGCCGGTAACGAAAAGGAAGAAGGAGAGACGGCCGACACTGTAGGTTGCTGCTCATTGAGAGTGGAACATATAAAACTTTTCCCAGAGATAGACGGACAGGAGTTTGTGGTAGAGTTCGACTTCCCGGGTAAAGATTCCATCCGCTACTACAACAAGGTGCCTGTGGAGAAAAGGGTATGTACCTGCTGATTGAGTGATTGCAAATTTTTATTTTAGACCCCGTCTCCCAGCCCAATACAGATCCTTGAATTGTATTTTTACATCTCTTGTGTTTCTTGCTCAGGTTTTCAAGAATCTGCAACTCTTTATGGAAAACAAACAGCCCGAGGATGACTTGTTTGATAGGCTCAATGTAAGTGTCTTATCAAACCTTTTTGCAATTGCGTGAACTTATGGTATCTTTAAAGTCTGCTTATTGTCTAGCCCCCCACACGCCAAAATAAAATTATTATTATTATTATTATTATTACATAGTATTTATATAGCGCCAACAGTTTGCGCAGCGCTTTACAATATAAGACGTTACAATACAATTCAAGACAAGATGGTAAGGAGGGCCCTGCCCCTGAGGGCTTACAATCTAAAAGAGGAGGGGGAAATGATACATGAGGTAGCTGTGGGAATGAATTATGTGAGAATGTGAAGGTTCAGTGGTTAGGTTGAGGTGGGATAGGCTTCCCTGAAGAGATGAGTCTTTAGGGAACGCCTAAAGGCAGTCAAGGTGGGAGATAGACGGACAGGTTGGGGTAAGGAGTTCCAGAGGATGGGAGAGACTCTAGAGAAGTCCTGGAGGCGAGTATGGGAGGAGTGGACAAGGGAGCTGGAAAGCAGGAGGTCAATGGATGAGCGGAGGGGACGTTTAGGGTGATACTTTGAGACAAGGTCTGAGATATATCCGGGGGCAGAGTTGTGGATGGCTTTATAGGTGACTGTTAATATTTTGAATTTTATCCTCTGGGCGAGTGGAAGCCAGTGGAGGGATTGGCAGAGGGGGGATGCAGACACTGAGCGGTTGGTAAGGTGAATGAGTCTGGCAGCTGCATTCATGATAGACTGAAGGGGGGATATTCTGTGTAGTGGAAGGCCAATGAGGAGGGAGTTACAATAGTCAAGACGAGAGATAACAAGGGAGTAGTTCTGCGGTGTCATTGGTGAGGAAGGGGCGTATAAAATGTGAATGAAAGGCCTAAAAAAAGAATTTTAACGTGCTTTCCTTTTATTCCCTAGACAAGCATTTTAAACAAACACCTTCAGGACCTGATGGATGGACTAACAGCAAAAGTGTTCAGAACATACAACGCCTCTATTACTCTACAGCAGCAACTAAAGGAGCTCACCAACTGTAAGTCATCTCCTCTGATTGCCATACTACCATGGGTGTGCTTTAGGTTGGGGGTATTTTCGTTTGGTTCAGTCTTTTGCTGCTTTATATTTTTGGGGGATCCTTTAGGGAATCCTACAGAAACCTTTCTGCATAACGTTGCTTTTCTTATTTCTTGGTGATTTTGTGCGTTACCCCAAACTGTTTGATCTGCTTTTAAGGAGTTAGATTTTTTTTTTCTTTTGCTCGTCTTCAGAGAGCCAGGATGGGTGGAAACTTCTTATTTTTGTGGATTTACGACAGTCAGGAAGGAGCCACTGGGCATTCATAATGTGTTTGCTGATGGTCATCAGTTATGCAGTTAAGGCCTGGCCAGCTTGTAAAGCACTAAAATGTATATAGGCGAAGGCTGTAGTTGGGCCTAGCTTGAAGTGGTACATTGACAAGGGCTATGCTTGGACTTGGACGTATCTTACCATTTTAAAATTAAAATACTTCTTTAAAAAAATTTATGTTTTTTTTTACTTCTAGCTGTAGTAATATGTTATATTTTGCTGTCAGAATTTGAAGTCTATCCTATTTATCTGTCGCATGTAATGATTTAAAATATTTTCCATCTTTTACAGCCGATGATAACATCGCTGCCAAAATCTTGTCTTACAACCGTGCCAACAGAGCTGTGGCTATATTGTGTAACCATCAGCGTGCTCCTCCTAAAACATTTGAGAAGTCCATGCTGAACCTGCAAACCAAGGTAGGATCTCTCAGGGTTTCAACAGATTCAGCAATTCGTAGTGGATGACATGGTGGTTAACTGTGTAGATCAGTATTAAGTGCTCCTGTCTCTTTTTAGATTGATGCCAAGAAGGATCAGCTAGCAGATGCACGACGAGAGCTGAAAAGCGCCAAAGCAGACTCCAA